AGGTTCACAAAACAAGGTTTTGAGACGTAGCCAGTTGCATTCTTTTGGAAATTTACTGTACCGTTTCAATGTGTTAAGTGCCTTGTTGTAAAGTAAAATTTTAAGTCTAGAATTCATTATTTTCCTGACATATATTTTCATTATGATATCTATTGTATGCTATTGTAATAGTTTTATTAAATGCTTACATTTTAATCAAATATGTAAATGTCAGAAGCTCTTTTCTCCTACCCACCAGTACCTTAATCATTGGTCTATCATATCGAATTTGAATTCAGGTTCTTTTGTTTTTTTAGTAAAAAGGAAATTATCTTTGTTCAGAAATGTGTTTTCCATGTTTGTGCGTTTGTGTTTGTCAAAACATTTCAGGAGGAATTTAGGAGTGTAAATATAGTTTATACTTCTAAAGTGTCTTACATTTACATTTTTAAGTGCCTAATTCTTAAAACTAATTTATGTTTCTCTTCTAAAGAGGATATGTGTTCTTGGTTTCTAATCTTTCATTTTGCTTTAAAAAAAAATGCAAAAGCCTATACTTTGTATTTACCCAATAAACCACAGTGACATCAACAGTCTTTTCAAAATTAGTATTACTGTTTCTTTCCATTTAAAAAATGTTTTTCTTAAAGATTTCTTTATTTAGTTTTAGAGTACTTACTAAAACCACAAGAGGGTTATTTTCTTCAAGCACTGTGTTTAAAATAAGGTGATAACCTTCAATTCATGGATTTAAGGTGAAAAATAATTCACAACCATATGAAGTGATTCACAGAGAAGAATAAAATCAGTTCCACACGCGTGATTCTGATTCTCGTTCACGAGGGGAAAAAATTCTTCAGAGAAAGCAGGGTCCCTTGTGTCACTCGGTTCTGAAGTGTCTCCTCACCCCTTCACAACAGGGGGGCTCCCGGGCTCTGTCCTCAACTGCACCTTGCTAGACAGTCGACAGCAGGTTGCAGTAAGTTGTTTTCGGACCCTGGTGAAAGGTGAGCGCCTGCCCCTGCCCCGCTTCAAGACATTTTGTAAAAGCAGTTTAAAGGGATGAGGGAAGTAAGGTAAGATAACAGGGTTCAAAAGTTACGTCATTGGCTATAGTCCAGGCTTTATCCTCGGGTTATCTGTAAATGACAGGGCAAGGATCAGAATCATTTTCCTGCCACCTCCACCCAGGCCCTGGGCAAGCAGCTCATCACGGCGCTGCTCCCGTCCTCCTGTCTGAAACCCGGCCGTGCGGATCGTGCTGGCCACGGCTTC